CAAAGGGAGGTGACACAAGCGCTACCGTGGCTGGGGTTTGATGGCTGAACTACAGGGGGATCCTCACCGGGACCTGGGGCCCCGCATTAGTCGGAGTCGCTGTCGCTTTCCGCCTCCTTCACGTCCACGCTGAACTTGTACTCCTGGTCGCAGCCCATGTAGGCATCACTCATGAAATACAACGTGTAGTTGTGCGTCCCCGTAGCTGGGGCCACGAAATCCAGCTTCACCTACGCAGCGAGGAAGAGCCAGTGTTGGGGTGGCAGAGGGGAGACCAGGCACCCCTCCGGCTCACCCAAACCACGTCCGTTTGGATGGCAGCCGCCCCCCCTGCCCTGTCCTGCTCACCTTGGCTTTCTGCTGCAGCGTCAACCGCTTGATGGAGATGAGGCTGTTGGATTTGGAGTCGCCAATCACCACCCACCAACCCTCCTCGCGTTTCTGCCGGAGACCTAAGAGTTAATGGGCTGGGGGTGGTGGGGGACAATCCCCTCCTCCACTTCTGCCACCCCAGTGTCACCGGGTTTGGCACGTACCTGGGGGAAAAGGGGAGCAATGACAGGCCCAGTGACCTCCTCTTCACGCTCCAGCTGCACCAGCACCACCACGGGCCCCCCACTGCGCGGAAAGAACCGAGACTGAGGGTCAGAGCATCCCCCCGGTGCTGGCACAGCACCGAGGGGGCCATGCCACCCCGCCTCACCTGCGGATGCTCTCCTTCTCCACCACCTCATAGGAGAGCTCAATGTTGGGGTAACGGTTACAGAATCGAGCAACGTCAGCGATCTGGGCATCCGAGAGCTGCAGCAGGGTGTTCCGGTCCTCGTCCTCCATTTCCATGATGTCGAAGATGCTCTCAACCCCCTGCAAGGAAGAAGTTTTCAGCCCAGGGCTCCTCGGTAGGCGAGGGCAGGACCACGGTGCTTCCCCCAAGCTTTACCTTATCCGTGCAGCGCTTGATGTGCTCAGAAGTGAAGTGAGGAAGCTGCTTGAGGTAGGAATCCTTCGACCACATGGCCTGCGTCACCATCTGCGCCAGCTCCATGGCAGCCAGCGCGGGGCTGAGCCAGCCATTGCTGGACAGCACGTCCACGCAGGCCTGAATCAGTCGGATCGCCTGGACACAGGGGGCAGGGACAGGTCAGAAGGCAGTGACACAACACAGTGACGCAGGCAAGGCGAGCAGGTTCTCACCCACCCTGTTGTACCTTGCTGAGGATTTCCTCGGTGTCTGACTGCAGCTCAGCGCTCAGCTGCATGCGTGACAAGTGAGCCTGCAGCAGGAGGTTGGTCTTG